CAAATGCCTCTTTGATTTTTTGCCAAAAATTTTAATCTCCATGGTTTCTGTTTTCTAGATTTTGAACTTTGGCGATCATTCTTAATTACATGAAAAAATACATGAAATTCTGTTCAACCTCTTGGATAAATGACAAACTGATTACAATAGGTTAAGCAGGTCTATGGTTGAATGCTTAAAACAAACAAAATCCTCTCTGTACATGAAGCGGTGTTAGATTAACAATCAGATCACTGATCACTGTCTCAAATTCCAGAATTATAGCATGTTGGAGAGGATGGATAAATATAATTATTCATAAATAATGCAGCCAAGATAACAGTCCTCCCTGCTAGCTGGACAATGCCCCTGCCTACGTATGGGTCCAGGGGTCAAGTGGACTGTTCCATCTCACCCCCCCAAAAATGTATGGTTCACCCCACACCTGTATCCCTCCCCGAAAACATCAAGTGCCTGTGACCCCATTGGTCCAAGCCTTGTTCCAGCCCACCTTGAAGCCCCCTGATAACGGGTCTCCGAGGGGCCACACAGCCTCTTGGAACTTCCCCTCCTCTTGGAACTCCCCCTTTCCTAGAGCATCCTTTCGTCTCTCCCCTCCCCCATCCTCTTAAACTGTGCCACGTGCTGTGTCTGGCAGCTCGAAGCAGGACCTTTCTCCATCCCTAATAAACCTTGTATCCCAAGAGCAGCCTTCAGAGATCTCTCATCTCCATTCACCTAAACCGTCTAGGAGCAGACAGTGCTCCCCACAATAGCATTTTGCCAAAGTACTGGATTTTCTGTACCTTATCATGTAGTTCTTATATATGTGGCCTTATATATGTGACTTAACTCATTTTTTTTTTAATACAATTGTATGGTATAATTCACCAGTTGTATGGAAACAGATGTAGATGTATTTGAGGCATATAATGAATGAAGTTCAACATGTCCTCATGTCCCTTTTTTTGTTTTGTTTTGTTTTTGATGCAACTCTGATCTACACCACCTTTTACAAGCTCATTAGTATGGAGGGGATCAACCTGATAACGCAATTTTTCCACATTTCCACATCTCTCTCTCATATAGGAGTACTCTTCCCTGGTTATAGGGAGTTCTTCCAAGGAAAAATGGTGACCAGCGAACTGCTGAGCACTTAGCTTAACCAACAACTTCAGGATTGTGAAGAGAAAGTAGTATAACATTTGTACATGTGTCAGATGACATTAACAGCTGAAGTGAGTTACTGTTTTTTATTTAAGGGAATGACATTCTATCAATTTTTTATTGTTATATGATGTACCAGATTGATGTATTACAGGAATTCTCTAACTGGTCATGTAACCATCCTTGGCAATGACAGCACTATGCCATGAATTGTGTGAGCCTCACATTTCTCTCATATGGTATTAAAATCCAGGTTCTCTGCTGTGCTCTCTACATTCATAAAAGGACTATAAAGTGCTCCTTGTAGTCCTAAAATTCTGGAACCTAAAAGTGGACTATAGTCTGAAATGCATACTGCTAAATCCAGCCAGATAAGTCTTTCTCCTTCACATCAGCATTACTGCCAACTTGCATGAACTTTAGAACAAATGAAAAGTACCCACATTTGTTTGTTTTCTGTTTGTAGGCACATATTTGCAGCAGCCAGGAAAAAATTCCCTCCAGGAAAAAACTGCCTCTCCACACAGACCTGGCACAGTGCTGGCTTTTGACTATGTACTTTACTATGTTGCAATGGGTTTTTTTTTATCATGGACTGGTAACTTAGTCCAGAACAAAGAATTTAAACTAAAGGGTAATTAAACAGAATTTGGATGGTCCATAAAAAAAGAATTAATTTACTGCAGCAGTTTGTTACTATCTGTTTTTAGGTGCTGAGATCTTCCTAGGCACATGGATTAAATTATAGGACCCTGAATGGAAGAAATTTTAAGGAACTGTGTTTGGGATACCACATTGAGAACAATCATTCTAAATGAGTTTGATTGGCTCAAATCCTATGTCAGTAGAAAAAAGACCAATATTTAGCAATCTATAGTGCACCAATATTTAGAAATTGAGTATAAAACACAAGATGGAAGGAGGAATCCTATTTATTTCTTCCATGTGTGAAATAAACAAAGATTCTAAGAAGCTGGAAAGGCTTTTAAGATGGGAAGGGAAAGTGGAACTACAATACCTACAAGTCAGACATGGGTTTCTAGTGGAAGAATTTAATTTATTAATATCTAATAATTAAATAGGTCAGCATGGTAAGGAGAAATTAGAGAAATACAGCATAAATAAAGTGGTGTAGGCTAATGGAAGCAGCTGTTGAATGGTGAATATTAAATGAAAGTTGAAATATTACAGGGAATGAAATATCATGTCACCTTTATAATAAAATATTTTTTGAAAAGATAGAAAGTTTTAGAAACTTAAGAAGTATGGTACCTGGCAATTTCTCTTGCTATGCTGTGTGTGCAGAAATTGTCAAAGGATTCCATGCGGGCAATAATGCTGTCTAGGACTAAACACTGGAAGCACTTTTTCTTTCACTTAGAACAGCAACCATATGTATACACAGCAAGTTATATCATCTTTTGGGATGTTCACATGGTGGTTTTGGCTGGGAGAGAGTAAATTTTTTTCACAGTAGCTAGTAAGAGGCTGTATTTCACGTTTGTGCTAGAAACAAATTATGTGATAACACGTGTATTTCATATGTGTGTAATTAATGCTGAGCAGTGCTTACAAGGAGTCAAAGCCTTTTCTGTCTGTTGCTCATGGTTACTTGGTTTCCTGTCTCTCACCATTAGTAGGCTGGGTCCACAAGGAGCTGGGATGGGATATAGCTCAAATGATCCCAACTGACCACAGAGATATTCCCTATCCTGTGGTGTCATGCTCAGCAATTAAATCTGGTGGAAGAAGTAAGAAGGGGGGATGCTTGGAGTGATGATGTTTGTCTTCTCCAGTCACTGTTACATGTGATGGGGCCCTGCTCTTGTGGAGATGCTCAACACCTGCCTGCACATGGAAAACAGTGAATTAATTCCTTGACTTGCTTTCCTTGTGTGTGGCTTTTGCTTTCCCTATTAAACTGTCTTTATCTCAACGGACAATTTTTCTGGCTTTCAATCTTCCAGTTCTCTCCCTGATCTTACTGGTAGGGTAGGGAGTGACTGGCTGTGTGGAGCTTGGTGGCTGGCTGATTAAACCATGAGAACACTACAGAGTTTAAGCCACAGCATGATTTTTCTATTTTATTTTATACCTATATTATTTTATGTACTTGATATATGGCATGGTATGTCTCTGTTGCCCTTGGAGATTAAGATTACTCTAGTAATCATCCACCACTGCAGCCTGACTGTAATTCTAACCCAAAACTGATGCACCTTTCTGTAAATTCTGACATGTATAAGACATCTTTCTCTTTTGTCTTATGTTCATCACCTAAATCTTAGAATTACAGGTTACTAAGTAATTTGTTGAGTTGAACCAACACCTAACTTTTTTTTTTTTAAATAGCAAATCAGAACTGGAAAAATATCCTACAGCTTTTACATTTAAAAAAATCTGCACTTCTTGTTAGGTTTATGAGAGTATATTTAGAAAACATTGGGAAAAACAATACCAGTACTTGTGAATATGTGTCCATTTCTGATTAAAGTTGATGGAAAAATTCAAAACAATTCTACAAGATGAACTTAGCATTACTGTAATGCAAAACTTGTTTTTGTCTCTGCTTAGGTGCTTGTGGGAGTGGAATGATTGTGTCCATGAGGATCCTGCAAAACTCTTTGATTAAGGTATCTTTTACAGATTCCCATTGGTGGACTTTTGGCAAAAGTAATTCAATGTCTACTGAGACAAGGAAATGAAGCTTCCGCAAATGACTTCTGAAAGTTTCTTGAAGCTATATTGCTGCTAATTCTTTTTTCTACAAGTACTTCTAGAATGTTCTGAAATGTGCCAACTTTACCTAAAAAATTATTTGAACAAGCAATACTTCAAAACCTGTCAGAACTTCCAACACTTATTCTTTGCATCCTCTCTCCTCTATATTTATAATGACTGTAAAACAAGTTGTTAATAAACTTTAAAAAGTTTTTTTATGTACTCAAATATAAAAGAGGCAATACTTAAAGCCGTAGACCCTCAGTGGCCTGAACGATACTCAAATCTCAAGGTTTTTAAAATGCTGGAGTGCTAGGATAAAGAGCCTAAAGGTATTTTCTTTTGCACGAGTGTTGGCACAAAGTCTATTATATAGCATTTATAAGCTGGTTTGTTCTTTTTTTTTTTTAATAATTACGTGGCAGGTCTTGCAGACATCGAGAGTGGGGTCCTGATTTCCCCGTTTCCCGCAAGGACAGACAGGAAAGGGAATGCAGGATTCCCGAGTGGTGACAGGGCCGAACAAGCGGTGTGGCAGCTGCCAGGCACAGGGGGCACAGGGCGGGCACAGCATTTCTGTGAAACTGCCAGGCACGATCCGCCCGGCCACTAAGGGTGCTGGCATTAAGGGACTGTTACCCAGGAGAGGATGGAAGAGAGCTGCTGCTCCAGGCGCCCCGCGGGTGCGGTCTGACATTGACTCAGCCGCCCCTGAGCACAGAGCAAGCCCTGGAGGCCAGCCCTTCACATATTAAACAGGTACATTTGTGCCTGTAAGGAGAAGATCGAGATGAGGGAGGCGTGCAGCTGAGCCGCAGCGGGCGCTCTGCGACCTCCTCCGAGCGCGATTTCTGAGCTCAGAGGAGAGCAGCGAAGCGGCGCCCCCCGGCCGCTGCCGGCGCGCCCCCCGGCCGCTGCCGGCGCGCCCCCCGGCCGCTGCCGGCGCGCCCCCCGGCCGCTGCCGGCGCGCCCCCCGGCCGCTCGCTGCCCCGCCCCACCCGGCCCTCATTGGATGCCGGCTCTGCCCACAGCAAGCCCCGCCCTCTCCCCAACCTGACGTTCGCTTCCCGCCCCCCGAGTGGCCGGTGCGCCCTGTCAATCACCCACGCTCGGGTCTCGCGGCGTGTCCCGCCCTCCCGGGCGCTGTGCCGCCGTGGGAAGGGGTGGGCGCTCGGGGCCGCCCTCGCTTCCCCTCCGCCTCGGCGAGTATCCCTGGCCGGCGCCGCTTCGGAGCCCCGCGCCACTGGCGGGGCGGATCGGCAGGCAGTGCTCGGACGTGAAGGGCCGAACGCCGAGCCTGTGTCACGCTCCCCTGGGATGCCCGGTAGGTTGCTGTCCCCCGCCGCCTCTCGGGGCGGCGGCGGTTGCAGCCCCCCCGCGGGCCGAGGCCTTGGGCTGGCCCTCTCCTCCTTTCGCTGGCGGCCGCGGGACTTGCGGGGGGCGGGAAGCCCCCTGCAGGCGCGGCAGCGGCCGGGGCGGCAGCGGCCGGGGCGGCAGCGGCCGGGGCGGCAGCGGCCGGGGCGGCAGCGGCCGGGGCGGNGCGGCAGCGGCCGGGGCGGCAGCGGCCGGGGCGGCAGCGGCCGGGGCGGCAGCGGCCGGGGCGGCAGCGGCCGGGGCGGGGTTCAGAGAGCTGGCGCCTGTGCGGGGCTGTGCGGGTCGGCGTGCCGGCCGTAGCGGAGGGGCTCGGCCAGAGCTGGGAGGGCCCGTCGCCTCCGGGGGGCAAGAGCTGTCGCTGTGAGACCTCCGAGTGCCCTCTCCTGCAGGAGTTGCTTGCGGCGGTGGGGTTCCCTATGTGGCGGCCAGTGTCGGTGCTGCTGGCGGTGGTTGTGGTCCGACCGAATACCAAGCTGGGTTTGTAGGAACAAATAAATTTGTTTTCTTGGTCTGTAGAAGTAGGTTGCTGGAATGGAATTGGTCTGCTAACCTGCTGGTTTAGCAGATCAGCAGGTTAGAGCTGATCTGTCACCGCTAAACGGAGCTGCTGGTGCTCTTTTATTCTTTTGTTTTGCTTTTCAGAAAGCTATTTTTAGGCTCCGAATGTAGTATTAAGTTTGATTAATTAAAATCTCTAAAAGTGATGTTTCAGTGATTCACCATGGAACTTGGACAGACCTTATTTTCAGGCATTCTTGTTCGTTTTACTGGTACACCTTTAATGAGTGTTGAAGTGACGTGCAGTGTATAAAAAGAATTTGGAATATAATCGAAGACTTTTTTTCTTGCTGAATTTTATTGTTAAGATAATTTTTAAGTGCATACGTAGTTGGATACTGTGCATATCCTTAAGCATGATTATAAGTGAAGCGCACTGTTAAGCCTGTTAAGCCCTGCTGCCTGGGTTATGACTGCTTGTAAGAATAAACAATTTACCTACTCTTTAGATTCATGCTTCTTCTTAACCCACCTGCCTAATGAGCGCATTTTATCCCGAACTGCATTGGGAAGTTAAAATCCAAGAGAGGCGTAAAGCAATTTTGTTTTAAAGGGAAAAGATGAGATAGTAGTTTCTGTGCTAAGTGTATTTTAGGAGATGTCTTCTCTCGATCTCAGTATCTTTTAGTAATTTTCTTTTTAAGTACTGTGCTAAATGGTTCTGTAATTAGAAGTATCAAAGTTACATAGATTTTTCTAACATTTTTACTCTTGCCTTGAAAATTTGTTTAAAAAACATTAGGAAGTTTTCAGTCAACGCTTAATACCTCACCTGAGGTTGTATGAACAAACTACTTGATAGTGCTTAAGGGAAGAGTGGAACAATCCTTTTCAGCCGTGGTCTGGGTTTAAGTGATCTAAAACTCACTGATACTTGGGAGTAATTTCTTAATGTAAATTGAATGGGCCTTTAACACTCTTTCAAAAATGTTTTGAGACTTCTGTATAATTAATTTCCCTGATCTATTAAAAGGTAAAGAAGTGGCTTTGAAGTAGTTGTATATTTTCTGACAATCCTTAATTTTTTTAATACTATGCATACGTTTTAATGGTTCTTCAGTGCTGCTGCAGAACCAGTGCAATGAGATCAAGCCTGATGCTGCTGTGCTTATTTTTCTAAGTGTAATTCTGAGCAGCCTACCAAACATTGTCACTGGACTTCTAGAGGTTTGTGACCTACAGCTGAAACAGCTGGATGTAAAAAAAATCTGTGTTTAGACCAAATAGTTGCTTAAATAAAAACAGTCTAGTGAGAAGGTGGTTAAAAGCTAGGGTGGTGACAACAGATATAGTGCCTGGAACATCTGTCCCTCCCTGTCATCTTAGGTAAGCCACTTAGAATTTAATGTCCCCTCTTTGGCACAGAGAGGATGTAGAAGAAAAAACATCACACACAGATCAATGCTGTGGAATTGGTTTGGATTGTAGTTACTTGGGGAGCTTTCTGAAACTTTAACTTTCAGAGGGAGTTATGAAACTCTTAGATGTATAGTATGGAATAATTTATTTTGGTGAGATTTAGCTCACTTGTTATATTTACTTCTACTGTTTTATTGTGGATGTATTCATTACCTTAAATTTATGAAAAGGTTTCTTTCTAACAAAAGAGGGAGACAATATTTATATATTAAATATACACATATATAAATATTTGTGGTAAATACTTAATATCAAGTATACAAAAATTTCACAATATTACAAATGCATTTACCAGTGCATTCTTCTAGCATGTTTATTGAACTGCATGTTCCTTATCTCTTACAGAAGATATTTTAAGCATCTACACTTCCCTCTCTTTACCACCTCCTTAATCTGATGTTTTTGACTTTGTGTAGGAAACCTTTTTAAAAATCCCCATTTGGCTGTTAAAAGAAGAGTATTTAGTACAAAATAAATATATTTTGTAGCTATGAAAAGCTAAAACAGTTATCTTGCCATTTGTGTCTGGTATCTTGTTTAGTGCTGTGGAGTTTGGAATGGGAAGACATACTGATAAATTAGAAATGTCTTTGCCCAAATGTTTACTCAGGTAGCTGTAGGTCACAGAAGCCCATGACACACACAGGTAAGATTTGCATATTCAGGTAAGTTTATTACTTAATTTGACTTTGTGTGTAGCATCATTAATATAACTGCAGCTGTTTTTTTCCTGTGCTTTAGGATCTTCTCTGTAAGCTTACTAGCTGGCTTAGCTTTTAACATACTAAGACTTTGTAGTAACAGTTTCACTTAATTTAGTAATTTAAGGTCATTAAATTACTAAGTTAAACAAATTTAATGTTATTTTTCTAGAAATAATTCTTTTTCCTCCAGTTTCCTTGCATGGTGATTTATACTCTTCATCAATGTGTTTTGATTATGTTATTTTTGATTAAAGACAGGATGTGAACTGCAATAGTGGAGGATGATGTCCTTTTCAGCAGGCCAAAAATACAGATGTTTTATGACAAGCAGAGCCTAGATTTCAGTTTGAAGTTTGTGGTTTGTCACAACTTATTGTATTCTTTGCTGTTATTCATTGAGTAATTTGTGAGTTGCTGTTATGAACAAAACAGCCAGGCTGGGCCACTTGGCTAGAACTAAGTACTTACATTGAAATGTTAATTAGCCAATTGCTCCTGGGAATCACCTACACCCCCACCCAAACTAGGACTGGGATGCAAAATAATCCAGTGGAATCATGGGAGGGGGTTTTGGGGATGAAAAGCACTCCAAAATGAACAAGAGGGGCACAGTGGAGGGGGCTGGATGGGTGTGCTGGTTGGGGAAAAGGGAACCCCATCCTTAGTCTGTGTTTGACCTGTCACCATAACCTGCAGAGGACCAGACTGGAGTGGGCTGTGGGAAGCAGGCACAAGGAATCGGACACTTTTCTTGGTGTTACCAGGAGGGAAGGAGAGGGATAGCTGCTGCTGGACCTCAGCAGCAGGCTCTGCACATCCCCCCACCCTTTGGCTACCAGTGTGCCAGGAGGAAAGGAGAGAGGACGGTCTGCTGATCTGGACTGCAGATACAGACTGGACACCTCTTCACCTCTGGCTACCAGTGTGCCACGGAGACTCCAGGGACAGACTCTGCAGCCTTCTCACCCTTCGGCTGCCAGAGGAAGCTACAACACCCCCCTGCCGAGCTGACTTTTTAATAAAGAGCTGAACACTAATAAAGGCATAGACCCTGTTCACTTCAGTTGCCATACCCTTTGTTCAATAAACTCTGTGCAATAATAGAATGTAGATGGAGCAGTCTCCATCAGAAGCAGAGTTGAAAGTAGTGTTGGGGTGGCAGTTTGTGTATGGAGGTCACTGGGGTGTGATGTCCTTGAAGAGACATACTTGACGGGCTGTGAAACACCAGTCATTGTGACTGTGCTTTGGTGTTGGAAAGGCCCTTCTCTCTAATATAGGACATTCCCTGCACCATTTCTGGCTGGGCAGTTTTATAGCTCCTCTCTTGCTCTCCATCCTGTCTCTTGTATCCCTCAGTGAGTTGATTCACCTTCTGTTCAGTTACTGAGGTTTGTGAGCTTTCTGGTAGTCTGAGTGTGAGTAGTGGCTTCACTGATGATGGTGGGTGATGGGAGCAGCAGGTGGTGTGCCACATGCAGTAGGAGAAGAGTCATTGTACTAACCCATCAAATGTCTAATTGCATTTTGTCGTTTACATTTTGCAAATTTCAGACTTAAGTTCTACTGAACCCATAAAATTGTTCTTTTTGGTTTGTCTTCGACCTTGAGATTCTAGTCACCTGGTGAATGTTGAAACTGTTAAATTTTTAAAGCTTCATTAGCTGCATTTTCTACTTTTGTAGAAAATAATTTAAAAGCATGGGCTTCTTGACAGGTTCCCTTCATGATGTTGGAAGGTGTGATTTAGTCCAGATAGGACATGTGTCTGCAGCTTAGTATAAAGTACTATTTAAAAACTGTGTTATTATGTGTAGAAGAATCCTGTATCTTTCTGGTTTTTAGGCACCAAGCATTTTCTATTGTATATTTTTATATTTGAATGAAGTAGTTAACATGACTGTTAGCCTGTTTCCTGGTTCAACAACTTTTTAATGTAATGATATAAAGCAATCTTTAAAGGCATTAAATGTTTCTTTAGAGGAGTACTGGCTTATAATGAAGAACATATTTAATTTCATGTAGTATTGATATTTGATGTCAGTTTAAATGTAGATAATGTCAATAAAAATACAGCTTTTTAAAATCATAATTGTGCAGTAATTTTGGGAAGATGAAGTAATACTGTAGAGGCTAAAGTCAGGGACATGATTGTTTTAAGGGTCGTGGAAGACACTTCTAACCTCAACCACGAGTATTTTCTTAGTTGAACCTTACAAATGTTTTCTTCTTGAAACAGAGAAGTTCAGTATAGAATATGTTTTACTTT